TTTGAAGGAGAATTGGACTTTCTGGCATAAAATTTTAAGTTAGTTTTTGTTTGAAGGCAATGGCTTGGTTTAAACGGTTGGAAAAATTACATAAAGAATTTAGATATTCTAAGGGAGTATCCTTGGGTATGATGATACTATATATCATTCCTAGTTCTAATAGCTTGCTTAAATAATAAATGGTTGATTTGGTAGAGAAAAGGGTTTTTCTGGGTACTTCAAAAGGAATAAAGAAAATAGGGTCTATATCTAACAAGATAATGGTTATTGGTATGTCAGTGCCTGTTTGTATTAATCGTATGAAAGTATAGTTATAACGGGTGCCTTTGGGTGAATTGTTGTTTCTGAGGTAATTTTGGATATCAACTCATTCCTTGAGCCCATCTAACTTAATTTCTTCAAGAATAAGTTCTTTGATGTCGTCTGGGAAGAGCTTAACTTATTGTCTCAGGATTTCTCTGTAGGTGGGAGAAAACATGGGTAGTAACTTGGCATACTTGGTTTATACCTGTAGAAATTGAACCTTCTGAAGATTTTCATCTTCATCAGTCCGTTGCTCAGAAATAGTTAGTTGTGTGGGTTCTAACTGAGAGACTAAAGATTTAATTTTCTTAACTAACTCTATATCTTGGGTATTGAAATACTTTTGACCATGTTTTCCTAGTTTTGAAAATAAAGGTCCTACTAGTTGTCCTAATTTTGGAATAAAATTGCGACCATAGTTTAATAATCCTAAAAATGCTCATTTTCTCTTTTTATTTCGGCATGATTTCGGACCATAAAAGCTGGACTCCTATGTCAACTATTACTTTTTCTTATTACTTTTAGTGATAACAGTTCTTTAATTTGTTTTTGGAATTCTTCTTGATCGTCTAAGGTATGAGGATTATCTTGTGTCTTTATATTTATAAAAGAATATATTTTATTTAATTTTGCTTCAATTTTATTTTTATACCAATGTTTCTGGGGGTCTTCACCTAAAATTTCTGTGATTTCAGCTAATCGTATAAGATTACCAATGTTTAGTTTGGGGTTTTTTAATATAGCTTTATTATTAAGGAAAATCTTTGGTTCGTTAAGATAACTAAGAAACATTAAAGCTTCAGAAACGTCTTCTAAAAATTCGGATACATCAAATAAATTTTCTGTCGTTTCTTCTGTTATAGGTAAGGTATTAACATATGTAATGGCTCATTTATCTTTTTGAGAAATATAAGGATCTCTAGATGGAATAAAGGTTCCTTTCTTAAAAAATTGTAAACATGTAGGAGTATACAAAAATCCTCCAGTAAGTGAATTTATAAAATTTAATCCTAAGATAAAATCATAGGTGCTAGGAATATTATTAACTACATAAGTCTGGGGTAAAACAAACTTTTCATTGTTAATTAATATAGGAATGTTTTGAACACAATGGGTTATTGGAAGTTTTTCATTATTATACTGGCTCATGTTAACATTATAATTTAACTTTACTAAGGCTTCGTCTGGGACTAAATGTTTTTGAATTATACTTTTTAATGCTCCAGTATCAAGCATAGCTGAGGTTTGAACTAATTTTTCTCTAAATTCTAATGTTATTGGGAATTGAATTAGACTAGATGGTTTATATTTTGAATTTATAGATTCGACTAAAATATTTTTTTTGTTTATCTTCATATTTTGTATAACAATTATGACATAATAAAGTTTTACAATGGTTTTCACAGTAATGACCTTTTTTAATAGATGTATTGCACTGTTTACAATTATAAGAAAAAAATTGAAAACTAACTAAGTTATACTGACATGAGGGATTACTTATAGTGTGAATGAACTCTTCTATTGAATGAACCCCTTGTTCAAAGTCTTCATCATTATGAAAGTTGATCTATTCTTGTATCCTTTTAATAGGATTCTGTTTGTATCTATGAGGGCAATTTGGTCTAATGTGTCATAGTTCTCCACAAATAAAACATTTGCAATGTCTTTCTTTTGTGGGTAAAGTATTTACCTTATTATCCTTGTCTTTGTTGTCCTTTTATTTTTATTTATCTTTTGCTTTTTATACCAAGGTCGCTTTCTGAATTGCCTAGGGTTAGTTCTAACATATGGTTTTTTATTACGAAAATTCTTGTAGGTCTTGCTTTTTCGCAGATTATATTTTTTAGGTTTATTATGTTTATAATTGTAATTCTTCTAAGGCATACACCCATACTGGGGTGAAAAATCTATTTATCTACATGTATAATAAAATTATTTTTTGATTTGTTTAGACTCTTTACGTTGTCGACATTCTACTTTTAACATGTTATACACATGATTAACTCTATCTCATATGGTTAGCGTATCGCGTCTAGGGTTTTCTAACCATTTTTCTTATAATTTAGTTCATACACTTCCAAGCAACTTCTGAAGATATCAATCAAGTAATGTTTTATCACCTGTTTTACCAGTGACTGCAAAATACTCAAAAAACTTATTGGTTTAGTTTTTTATGTATCTAAAATCACAAATCTGTAGTAATTCTAAATTACGTAAAGCTTCGTTTTGTTTTATTAAGGTATCATCTAATAATCTGTCTTTACCAATTAATATTTTTTCAATGAGGCTTGTAAAGCCTTGAATGGTAAAATTATCACGTAAGATTGCATAATCATTTGGATAAATTACTTTATAAGCCTGCCACCAGTCATCAATGGTTCCTCTTAATAAGGTTTCACAATAGGTTAAGGCTTGAGTTCTATTGTCAAAATTGGTCAAAATAGATTGCCTAATACAATCTTGTTCCCAGTTTTCGATTACCTTTGCCCAGTCTTGGGGATCGTGCCTTGCTATGTCTAATATTGTTCCTGATGATTGCGCTAGTATATTTTCATATTGTCTACGATATTGTGTTAAGGTGTACATATCTGGTATATTTCTATTTTCTACATAAGTTTCTCGTGAGGGATTTAATCTTTGTCCAGTTGTAAAGTCATCACTTAAGGTATTACTACCTAAGGTGTTAGTCTTTCTTTGGTCACTCATTTCTTGGTCGATTGAGTGAGATTTTGATGTTTCTGGTGTTTTCCCTTCTCTATGCTCTATTACATTTAACTCTTCTTTTACTGTGTTTAATTCTAACGCTGTATAGAAGGATTCAAATCCGACACTTATAATATTTTTCTTAATATCATCATTATTTCCTTGTCCTAAATAAATACTCTCGATAAGTTGGTATTTAGGTCCTGGATACTTGTCTTGCAATGCTTCTAATTCTAAATTATCAAAATCGTACATTATTCTATCTAGAATTTCATCTTCTAATCTATCATAAAGGACATTTAAGTCTTCTGGAGATTCGATCTCTATTAGTGTAGTAAAAAAGTCTTCCTGAGTATCATCAACTAAATTGTCTTGTCTTTTATAATTACTAAACCTTATGCTAGCATCTCCGCTATTTGAAACATATATCATATTATTTTCGGGAATCTTTTTAGGTGTAGTAGTAAGTTTAGGTAATTTCCATTCTGTGCCTTCATGGGTAATACTGCTTACTTTTCTGGCTTCTATCATCTAGACATATTTGCGATTAAAAGGTTTAACTATTTCACTAAATTGGGCTTTAAACTTTAAGTTATACTAATTAACTGCCTTTCTCATAAATAAAGTATTAACTAATAGATTTTCAAATTGCCCTGTCATATTATATCCTTTTGTAGATATAACTATCTTAATATGTTTACTGAATTCTCTAGTAGTTATCGTATAATTGGGAATACATCCTACTATTGCGGCATTGTCGGCTAAGTCTATTTCGGCGCTGGCTATTTGTGCTTGTTGATGGTTATTCCATCGGTCATCATTAATATAAGCAAGTTTAATCCTACTAATCCTATCATTATGACGCCTAAATGCATAAGTTCTAAATTATTATTATTTAGTTCTTGGCATGCTTCGGGTGTTATAAGGTTTAAAATTACTTGATTGTTAACTGCACTTATTTTTCTTTAGCTAAAATGATTATATATCTTACTCTGAAAATCTAATAAATTATTAGAATAAAGATTAATTTTATTTTTTATCTTCTTCATTCCTTATTCTATATATTTTTTAGCATCATGTTCATTATCATATAAATCTTCTACTCTCATTATTTCTTTGGTTTTTCTAAAGATAATGGCCATTGTGATATTTGCTTATGAGGTTGAAGTTGTAATAAATTTACAAGCTTGGCTGTTGTAGGAGAGGACTGATTATTGACTGACAATTTTATTTCTTTTATTTATTTGATAATTCAGATAATTCTTTTGAAGATTCTCTGGAAATACTTTCTTATATTACTTCTAATTTGTCTTCAAGTTTATTAACTTTAGTAGATAACTGGAGTAATAACTGAATTAAAAAGTTATTTTGTTTAATATGTATATTAGTTGACTGTACGTCTGTTTTAAAGTTAGTAAATCCTATAGGTTCTTTATCAATTTTGTAAAGTTCAGCTAACGCGGTTAAATATTCAGGACTACTGGTGCTCATAAAACTATTGTAATAATTTTTGGATATCGGTTTTAAGGGATTTTAAAGAGTTTAGGATTATTTTCTGGTTTTCAGCAATATTCTTAATATCACTATTGATATCTTTAATTGCGACTAATATTAACTTATTATCTAAATTATTTGGACTAGAATTCAGTACTACTTGTTCTTTAATATAATCTAAATTTTCTCCTAATCGTTTTATAGAAATATCTAAATTATTAAAGTCAAGTCTATTCATAAACTAAAATCGTTGACGTCTAGCTTCTAAAATATTTTGTATTAATATAATTCTAGATTTAAGTTTTTCAATTCTTCTTTGTAGACTACGTGTTGTGTCTCCTAATTCTAGAGCTATGTGACAGTTCCTAAGTGCTGTTTGACAAAATTCTAATACTTGAATAAGTTGTTATTTAGGTAAAATATAAATTCTACTTAATAAAGGGCTAAAATAGAACTTAGCTCATGAACTTGTAAATATGTAAACTACCTTTAGTTTAGCTATGGGTAATATAACTACACTAAGACCACTTTATTGTAAAAGTCCCTGTTACACACACACACACAACTACAGGACGGCATAGATCAAAGCTCTCTCTTCTTAATTGTGTGAGTCTCATGGGAAACAATGAAGAACAAGTAATCACTTGTCATGTAGAAGAAGAAGGAGATGAAAAGGGTTCGACTACTGAACGGGGTTTCTTCCATTGATACAAGAGCTTGCTTTGTCAGAACAAGAAGTAAAGGAGTCCAAAACTACAGAAACTGAATGGTCTCCGAGTCTGACAGAGATAGAGAAGATCATAGGGTACAGTTTTAATGACAAAAGCTAATAACAACAAGCTTTCACACATCGTTCGTATAATTATAATGAAGAAGAAATTTGTTCATCCTACGAACGACTCGAGTACGTGGGTGACGGCGTGCTCAATCTTCTCATCACCAAAGAGCACTACTTCCTGTATCCCGATCCACCGCCGGGAACGTTCACCCGCCTCCGTTCGGTCAATGTCAACTCGGAGAAGCTCGCATGTGCCGCAGTCAAACATGGGCTTCACAATTATTTACGTCACAATAAACCTCTTCTTAATGGACAAGTAAAGTCCTAATCTATACTTTATTTATTTATTTAATTATTTTTTTTAATGTTTAAGAAAAGAAAAACACACTTCAACTTGATTTAGTTTGAGGACTAAATATCATAAATTTGTTCAGATTCGGGACTTCATGAAAGCGATTCCGGATTATCCTCTGCATTCCAATGGCTTGATCGATGCACCAAAAGTGCTTGCTGATATTGTTGAATCCACATTAGGGGCCATCTTCGTTGACAGCAATTTGTCTTTGGATGTTACATGGAAGGTTTTTTTTCTTGCACATTCTCTATTGCCTCTCTTAAAAAGCAATTTAGAATCCCATATATGCACCTGCTGAATTTTAATTTATTTAAACTTTTTTGCATATACAGAAATACCATGTTATGGAATAAATATATATATATATATATATTTTTTGAAAGGTTTATGGAATAAATATTATATGTATTTGTGTATCGATCTCTAGCTAGTATACTAGTTTCATTTAAATATGTTAAAATTAAGTATTGATTTGTGATTAAATGACCACATTAATGTGATTATTAGTCACTCGAAATCTTTTTTTTTTTTTTTTTTTTTTTTGGGTAATTGAGTTTATATGGTTATGGACTTGGGGCCTGTTTGGCATGCACTTTATTTTAGACGTTTTGTTTTTGGCTAAAACACAAACAGTGTTTTTGTTATAGGAATGTTTTGAAAAAAAATCGAAAGCACATCTGGAACGATGTTTTAGGCATTTTGTTTTTAGCCGGTGTTGCGCTACTGTTATGGTTTTGGGTCAATGAACAGTTGTCAAAACAAGAAAAAAATAATTTTTTGGTATTTTGGTTTTGGACCACTATTCACGAAGTGTTTTAGCACTATGTAAAATAAAATAAGGCCGTACCAAACATGTTTTTGTTATCAAAATCGACATTATAACAATCCAAAAATAAAAACGTCAGAAACAAAACGCATGTCAAGCAGGACCTGGTTAAAATCCTCCTAATGGTATTACACTATTAAAACTTGATGTAGGTGGCCAAGAGTTTGCTGAAACCTACAATCACACCAGAACAACTGCAGCTACACCCTGTTACAAAGCTAAACGAGCTATGTCAGAAGAGTAGATGTGAAATGCAATTTGTAGATCTATGGAAGGAGTCTGAAGTTATTGAGGTTTTCGTAAATAATGAATTTGTAGGAAAAGGAAAATATTGGCCTAAGAGATTAATCGCGATAAACAGAGCAGCAAACAATGCATATAACGAAATCGTGAGAAAGTTAAATGTGAAAGACAATAATTAGAGCGAGCTAGCTAGCTAGAAGCATGTAAGATGAGATCATGGTCTGGATTACACCATACTTGTTCTTATGTTTTGCATTCTATTTACCATATAGAAAGTCATTACTAGAGTGAATTGTGATTTGTGGATTGAGTTTAATTCTGTAATTTTCTTAAATTGTGTGCACATTGGGGTAAATTTCTTTTTCCTCAAAAGTAATTTTGAAAGAAGCAGCCATCATAATTTCTTCACTTTGCGTGTTTGGTAATATTGTTCAGATTTTAAAATATTCATAATTAAATAATCCCCAATTTAAAATAGAAGGTATCTGTAGGTGCAAAATTTCGCTCAACCAATAATGATTAAGAAAAATAAAACAACTCACTCAATCAATAGTAAAATAAACAAGAACAATATATCTCGAAGCGTAGAATTGCTTGATCCCTTTATTGGAGGTCTAAGCCTCTATTTATATACAAAAGATTGTAAAATTATGGTAGGACTCGCCTTGCTTGCCCTCCAATTCTTTCTATATAAACATTCTTTACTAATAGAGTTCTTTCCATTGTCTAATTTTCCATACATAGAACTTGCCTTGTACAGAACTTCCTATCTCAGAATTTTCCTTCTACGGTAAATCCTTCAATGGTAGGACTTGTGCATTCTTGAATAACTGGGCTGAACATACTTTGATCCGGCTGGGCTTGAGTAACGGACCGGATGTTAAATATTAACAAGTTGGGCTGATGACCTCTTGATTCGGCCTTGATGGAGGTTGGAGGACAAATAACAATGGTCTTGGGCTAAAAATACCCTCAATTTGGGCTTGAGCATGATGGGCCTTATATGTCCTTGGAATGTAGATATGTGTAGTGATAACGTGTGCGCTTTTTATTGGATGGAGTTTTTTTCCTTCCACACTTTGCCCCAAATTTCATTTTTAATTGAGTGACGGCTCCCATTAAAGAGGGAATTGAAACCGGTTTTTTACTTTGCTTCAGAAGCGGTTCGAGGTCTTTCATTATTACTCCGTCATACAAGATTCTGCAAGAGTTACATTCGCCCTTGCTGCACTCCTGCGTTCTTCATTCCATCGCCTTGTCAGGTTAGTTTTTTTTTCCGCATCTTTCTCTTCAATCTTTCATTATGAGTACTTCATCTACTCCCGAACGTATAGACATTGGGGATTCTGAATCCACACCTTCATCTTCCCCCATTCGCATTAGGGCTCCCCCTCCTAGGGTTTCTACAGATCGTCTTTCGTTGAATCAATTAGGTATTTCCCCCTTTCCAGCCGAGACATCCACCTCAGGCTCCGATAATGTTCTTACTCATGAAGAGAGGAAAGCAATCATCTCTATTCGCCGCATCAAGGTCTCTATTGCTTCGGTAATGGAAGAATTTGATATTCCTGAGGGAGTAGAAATTGCAGAATATCCCGAGGGTGCCGATTTTACCTCCGGCGAGGGAATTGAAGAGAGTGAATTGCTTCTTTCGGTAGGGCATCTTAACGCCCTTCGGTTCCCTCTTCATCCCTTCTATCATTTAGTTTTCAACAAGTTAGGTCTTGCCCCCCTTCGGGTAAATCCTAATTTCTTTCGCATCCTTTCGGCACTGTTGGTGCGCCGGAAATTAGAGGCTCTGGATTTGACCTTTGCCGACCTTCTGCTTACTTACAATATATCTAAGCATGGGACCGAGCCTGGTCGCTTCTTTTTTACCTCTCCCTTTCATCAGAGGATATGCACGAACCTTCCTTCATCCGAGAAGAAGTGGAAAGAAAGGATGGTTATAGTTAAAGGAAAATGGTTCGTGCCCAAATCAATTACGCTCCCCATCCCGCGCAAGTTCGGGAAATTAGGTATAGAATACTTAACCTCCCTTCATACCAAGTGTTCTGGCTGTTTTCCTTGCCAAGTCTTAATGTTTCGCCGTACTTATGAGTTTCTTGGTATTTTTTCAGCTACATTCCCATCCTCCGCAGCAAGGAACAGACTTTCTTTTCTTGAGGAACGAGTCTGGAGTGACCCCTCGCCTATCGAGGACCTGCTAACTTCTTCAAACCTCAAGGATATTGCCTCCAGTGCTGTTGCTGCAGACCTCATGGATCTGTCTCTACCATCCTTTGACAGTTTCCCCATGACTGAGGAGGAGATACGGAGGGCTGAGGCTTTAAAAAAGAAAGCCGAAGATGCCCAACCCTTGGTCGTTATTAGATCTACTGAGGATGAGGTGGAGACTGAGGAACCACCAATGAAGAAATCTCGCCTCAACCCCCCATCCTCTGGCAAGGGCAAGGTCCCTTCTAAAAGCAGAGGGAAAAAGGCTAGAGAGGCCGAACCTGAAGATGAAGTCAGGGCCTTTGTTCTGGCTGAGACTGGGGCTCTTTGGACTCCTTCCTTCACCAGGGCTGACAAGTCAGTCCTGCACTCAGGGGATTCTGTGATTACAGACCCTTTAGCTGCACTGGCGGTGACTCGAGGGATGTGGCTCCCAAAGGACGAGGAAGCCATCAGCCAAATGGGGTTGGAACAATTACTCCCCTCTGCCCCGGTCCGGGCCATAGAGGTTCGCATTGCTCCTTCAGAATTATGTTCCTCTTGCTTGCTTATGTTTCCATTTATGCTCATATTTGTTCCTCTGTTATACAGAGTCTATACCACACCATGGCCCTCTGCGCCACTGCTGAAGCCCAATCCCTCTCCATCAAGAAGCTGGAAAAGGATCTTGACAATGCAGAGAAGAGAGCCACCACTGCCTCTACCAATCTGAGGATAGCTTCTGAAGCCAAGGATGCGTATAAGAGGCAGTTGGCTGCTTCTGAGGCTAAGGTGGATTCTCTTCAGGCAGAAGTTCAACGTCTGACCGAGGCTCTTACTACTTGCTTCAAGGCGGGGAAGCAAATGCAGGGGCGCTACTCCTGTCTGGCACACCTGGCTAGTGCTAAAGCGTTCTGGTCTGGCTATAATCAGGGCTCAGGCCCTAGGACGATGGATCCGGACGCTTTTGACAAGCAGGTGGGGGTGCACTTCCCATATGATGAAGGGCCAGAGGCTTTGGAAGCTGAAATCCGCTTCGCCGAGATGGTGAAGGCGCACCTGAAGGGTACTCCTAGCTCTTCTGCCCCTACGGCTTCAATTCCTCCTACCCCAAGTCCTACTGTAGTGGATGCTTTTGAATCTACTCCATTCGATCCGAAGAGGAAGTAGAACCATGTATTTTGTTTTTATTGACAGTATGTTTGGGATAATGAATATAATTTTTTGTTTTAGGCTTTCAATACCTGATTTGTTTTTGCTGTATGCTTTTGATACTGTTCATATTTTTCTGACTGGTAATATTTTTATGACAAACAAAAACACATTGTCTTTATGCTTCGGATTTATGCTATCCGAGAAAAAACAAGGATGGTGGGAAGAAAGTGATCCTTTTAACAGTTTAGTTAATATCTCAGGATGATTCATATGGACAATGATTTAACTGTTAAGTGAACTCTCCTTGCCTTTGACTCTCCTGCAGTAGACGTATACATACTCTTTCCTTCTTGTGTGTTCCTGATGTGGGGTGGATCATGATGAACTTATGATATATCCACATCCACAGGGTATTAAACACTTGGACTCCGGAGGAAAGAGTTCTGATCCGGGCACCAGAGGTTTGAAGCGAATTATTCCTCAGCACTGAGTGTGGAGGAATATTACTGAATAGGACACTTAGGGTCCGAAGCTGTCTCGGACACTTAGGATCCGAGGCGAATTAAACACTCCCTGGCGCGGAGCCGGATGGGAGGTTTTGCCGAGCCGGACACTTAGGGTCCGAGGCGAGATTTTTGCCGAGCCGAACACTTAAGGTCCGAGGCGCTGTCTCGGACACTTAGGATCCGAGGCGAATTAAACACTCCCTGGCGCGGAGCCGGAGGGGAGGTTTTGCCGAGCCGGACACTTAGGGTCCAGGGCGAGATTTTTGCCGAGCCGAACACTTAAGGTCCGAGGCGAGATTTTTGCCGAGCCGAACACTTAGGGTCCGAGGCGAATGAACTACCCCACGGCGCTGAGCCTGAGGGGAAGTTTGTTTATATTTTTTCTCAAACAACTTATCATGAGGCTGAGGATTCAAAAATGATAAGAGGCCAAGAAAGCGAGTAACAGTGGCTGTGAAGTTTCCTATTTGTTGACTTTGGAGACTTTCCTCCTCCACTGATACTCCCTTCTTGGCAACCAAATGTTGTGGACCACGCATATATGAACCGCATTTCTTTTCTATTTCTATCCGATGTGGGATATAGACTGAATTTTGTCAAAAAGGTTGGTGTAAGGAATGCCTCTGGTATCGAGCTTGACAGCCTTAACTACCAGTGGGCCCTCCTTACACCGTAATTAACTATTTGAATATTCCCATATATAACAGAATGTAGCACATACTTTTTTGTCGATGTGGGATAAAAAGTTTTAAGCATAGGCCATAACTCATGTTTTTTTTCCTTAAAAATCATTGTGACGAATGCTTTTTAGCAGCTTGCTTCTAATTGCATAAAAATTGCATAGTGCGACTTGGCATGCATAAAAATTGCCTAATGCGACGCATGCATAAAAGTTGCATAATCTAATGCGACGCATGCATAAAAGTTGCATAATCATAGAGTAGTATGGCCCCCATTTTTATAGAAAGAAAAAAAAATAGAGCAGAGTTGTACTGAATATAGAAGCAAAATAAAGAAAAGTTTGGCTGACTGTGGACATACTCAGCCTTATTTGTTAAGAATTTGTAGCAAAATTGACAAACTTAACTAATGGAAATACCTTTTAAGGTGTATTGCGTTCCAAGGACGCGCAATGGGACGTCCGCCAGTTTCGGCCAAACGATATGCTCCTTTCCCCACTACTTCGGTAACCCTGTAGGGTCCGGTCCAATTAGGTTCCAGTTTCTTTACATGAGCTGTCTCCTGCTTCAAAACCCAATCGCCTACCACAAAGCTCCGGAATCTGACGCGTTTGTTATAACTGTTACACACCTGCTGTTGGT